GAGAAGGAAGGACTCACAGGAGAAGAACCTAATGGTGGGAATGATTGAGGGCAAAAGAAGAATGGGATGACAGAGAATGGGGTGGCTGGATGGAGTCACTGAAGCAGTCAGTGTGAGCTTAAATGGACTCTGTGGGAAGGCTTGGAGGAATATTGTCCATGGGGTCGCGATGGGTCAGACACGACTTCGCAATTAACAACAGCAATCAGTGCATTCATATTCATCAGTAACTATTGAATGGCACATCCTTGGAAAGCATAAACAGCCAGTTCATATTATCAGACAAATCTCGTCTTGAGTCCAGCTTGGAAGTCTACTGTTTCTTTCTAAAGATAACCCACCAAACAAGCTTTGGGAAACGTCATCTCCATTGAACTTAAACAGAGGTGCAGTGTATTCTGGCACTCTACTTACCCTAACCAGCTGCTGTGGGAAGGGTCCTCTCGAATTTTCTGGCACGTTGATGGGTGGGATGACCCAATCTCGCTTTTGACGCCTGAGTCCATAAGAATTCTGGTGATGACGCCACGGGAGCAAAACGTTGCCAGGTTCTTGAAGGTCTGCTGTCATGTTCTTCTTTCCTTTCTGTTGATTTGGGAAAGAAGGGAGGGGGAGGGGAAAGTCTCATTATTTGGCTTTCATGGAGTCTCATGAAACAACAGCAAACAAAAACAAGGAGTCAGTTGTTGTTGTTCTTATTGTTTGTTTTTGCTCTCCCGCGCGTGAGAGAAAAATCGCTTGTCAGAACCGTTGTTATGTTGAGGCTTATTTGAGCTGGAAGATTCCTAGGAAAAAAATAATAATATTGTTCTTATAATAAAGCAAACATTTCTGCATTACAGCAGCGTGGGGTGCTTTTATTGACATCTGTGCTGTGGCTTCATTTTTTACTCATGTTTGGAGCTGTCATTAGACAATCAAGCCTTCTTTCACGACGGATTGTCTTCATTATACCAGCGGCTGGAAGCTTGATCAGCTCCTTTGAGGATGAAAATCTGCCGATTTCTAATAAATACAATAAATCACAAGAGCCAAAGGGAACAAACCACAAATAGTCGCAGCATTACCGGAGGGAGGTCAAACACCATTATAAACAAGCATTCGTCAATAGCTCTGAATTTGAAACTAGGTGTCAGGCCTGCAGCGGTTCCTTTAAGAATCTTTGGCCTGCCACACTCTCATTAAGGGGGGGGGAATTAGCAAGCGTGACCCATCAAAACCACGCTCGACTAAACCGCGCCCGATTAAACCGCGTCGCTGANAAAAAGAATAAGTCAATGTAGCCATCAAAAGTCAGCTTTGATTGCATCCAATGGCTTTCTTATACAGTAGAGCAGCAGAGCAGGGGTGAAGAAGCATGGCCCCCTTTATGACTTGTGGACTTCAGTTCCCAGAATTCCTGAGCCGCCTGGCTCAGAAATTCTGGGAGTTGAAGTCCACAAGTCATAAAGAGGGTCATGCTTCCTCATCTCTGCATCAGAGGTGGGATTCAGCAGGTTTTGATCAGTTCTGGAGAACCGGTAGTGGAAATTTTGAGTAGTTCAGAGAAACGGTAAATACCACCTCTGGCTGGCCCTGCCCCCATCTATTCTCTGCCTCCCGAGTTCCAGCTGATTGGGAGGAAATGGGGATTTTCCCCCTGGATTGGGTGAGAGTGGAGATTTTACAGTATCCTTCCCCTGCCACGCCCACCAAGCCATACCCACCAAGCCACACCACATCCACCAAGCCACGCCCACAGAACCAATGGTAAAGATTTTTGAATCCCATCACTGCTCTGCACATAGAGGTAGAGAAGGCAACAGAACTTGCAGCTCTCAAAAAAAAAAAAACCCTGTAAAATAACAGATCTGAGACTCAAAAATGGTAGAACTGAAAAGTGGAAAAAAGATCATTCAAATGCATGGAGTTCTTTTTGCTCTTGGTAGTTCTTCTCCCTTGCATTATCGACAGCTGGGGTAACACTACTTACTCCATCACTTGCCACAGACCGAATATATATTAAACCAGTAGGAAACCTATAGCTGTTTAGATGTTGCTGAACTACTGGCATCCATCACCATTAGCTATGCCACCTGGGGCTCCTAGAGACGGTTAGTTCTTTCTCGCTCTTTTTTGGGGGGGCAGGGAGAAAATTGTAAGAGCTGCTTCAAGAGGCTGAACATCTGCACTGCCTTTTAAGCACCCTTCCTAAACCTACGGCAGATTGAGGATGCGAATGTTCAGATGTAATTTATGTGATCGAGTCTGCTCGCACCTTGGGGGATTAAACCAACCATTTGTGTGTGTGTGTGTGTGTTTTGTTTCTGAACGTCAGGCACTTGGCGAGGCAACGGCTAATCAGTACCGAGCAGATAATGACTGCATTCATTTTAACCCTGGAAAGGACTCGCTAAGCATTTATTTCTTGACAAGGCTGCAAATGATCCATCCTCATTTTCTCCAATTATTTCCTGAAATTTCTTGCAATTATGCCCCAATTTTATTCCAGAGGACAACTTGACAAAAATGTGTGCTCCTCTTGTCGCCTTCTTGTTTTATTTGGAATTTGCTTTTAAAACAGCAAAAGCTTCGTGGATGCGGCATTCTGTTATACATTTTTACTACAGTTCCTGGCATCTGATACATCCATTTTTTTCTCCCCACCCATACAGTTTAAACTTTCTTTATGCTGTGTTTTATAAATGTTTGGGTTGGTGTGAAATGCCCGCTCTGAATAATGTGTCATTTCCAAGGGAGGGTGTGTGTGATAAGTGTTACTGAAGATGTGGTGTGATTTACAGACTCACTAACTTGATGAAGGGCATTTTGACCAGTGACAAAATGTTTCACTCACATGTGCATCTAAATGATAACAACAGTCCATCAGGAGGGCATGAATGAATATGTTGGTGGGAGAAGACAAATGGGTTATGAACTGGCAATCAGTTTGTTCCCATCCAGCTGAAGAAATGAAACAATCGGATTTCTGCCAGATGTGATCATTGTTAGTTGAGCAGCATATGAGGCTTAAAAAGAGGACAAGAGAAATGATCAAAGAATTTTGGTGCCCAATGTATGCCACACTGAGGCTTGGTGGTACAGTGGTTAGAATGCAGTACTGCAGGCTAATTCTGCCAACTGCCAGCAGTTCGATCCTGACAGGCCTGAAAGTTGACTCAGCCTTCCATCCTTCTGACCATTTTTTTTTTTTTTTTTTTGCCATTTGGTACTGTCCATTGACAG